TATATATATATATATATATATATATATATATAGAGAGAGAGAGAGAGAGAGAGAGAGAGAGAGTAACATTTGCACCTGAGAAAACGCAAATGATGATCGTCTCTAGGCACCATGATGGTAATGCTGGTGCAGTAGTAAGGATGAATGGGACAATGTTGGCACCTGGAGAAGAAGTTGATATCCTTGGGGTGAAATTTGACTCCAAACTAACCATGAAGAACCATGTTGTAAATCTTGCAAACAAGGCAGCCAGGAAGCTTACAGCACTTCGCCGTATCTCGCATCTGCTTGACAGTAGGGGTTGCAAGATTCTGTACGAGGCACAAATATGCTCACACCTTGAGTATGCTCCACTTTCTTGGTTTGCCTGCCCCCCCTCTCATCTGCGACTGCTTGACAGAGTAGAGAACAGAGCAAGACGTCTCATCTCTCGCCTGGACCCATCCTGGATAGATCTGTCATTTCAGCAGAGCCTTCAACATAGGAGGGATGTGGGTGGCGTTACTGTTATGTACAAGGCCAATATTGTCAAAATACCACACTTGGATCCACTTCGAGGACAGCGTGAAACAAGCTTTTATGCCACAAGACGGGCAGAAAGCAGCAACTTCACTCTGGCTGTACCCTTCTCCAGAACATCACTCCATCTGAGATCTTATATACCCAGGATGACTCGAGTATGGAACACATTCGTACAGCATAATGATGTCAACGAGATAACGTCAGTTGATCAAATGAAAATGCTGGCCCACAGATGGCTCCAACTTCATCCTGTTCCCTACTTGTATGTCTCATAACAATAAAAATGCTTTCAAATGAGCTGATGTAGGTAACAGCTCTTAGCTTGTCAATAAAGTTTGGAATACTTAACCTGTAAATAGCTGTCAATAAAGCTAGGGATCCTTAACCTTGTCAAACCCTGTGTAAAAAAAAAAAAAAAAAAAAAAAAAAGAGAGAGAGAGAGAGAGAGAGAGAGAGAGAGAGAGAGAGAGAGAGAGAGAAAGAAAGAGAGAGAGTTAAAGAGCTTGGGGTGATGGTGGGGAGAGAGAGGAGAGGATGTCCATGAAATAACAGCTATCCCACCCTTCCCTCATCTTCTCCCCATCTTCCCTCATCATCCCCCCCTTCCTCATCTCCCATAACTCTTCATGGTAGGTGGATCCTGATCTATATAAAGAGAGAGGTCATGTTTAATGGTAATGGCGGCCATTCTCTGATTCATCCATTATGGTGCCATGAAAATAATGGCAATTCGTTCTGGGATCTAATTTAGTGATTTAGAAATCTAATTGATTTTTGTAATTTAGAAAATCTAATTAATTTTGACGTCTTAAGAAAAAGTGAACCTTTGAAGACGCTTGTTTATGAGGTGTATACACACACTTAGTGGTGTATACATACACTTAGATGTGTATACACACGGTGCTGTATATTTCTAAGTACATATACGATGAGACTTGTTTATGTTTCAGTGTATATACACTGAGAGGTGTATATTTCTCGGTGTATATACACTTAGAGGTGAATATCTCTCAGTATATATTCGCTGAAGAATGTATATCTCTCAGTATACATACGTTAAGCTATCAGTGTATATACACTGACAGTTTACTTTAACTTGTATATTAAGTATTAAAGTATTCTTAACTGGTGGTGTACAGGTGACGTACAACCTTAATCACCCTCGTGTAGTAGATAGGCTTTAAACCCACTTAATTAACCAACCGTAGAGACAATAATATACGTAAACATTTATGTCTATAGTCGTAATTATAGAAGAATGAAATAACCCAAGTTAATAACCCAGGATAACCAAATTAAGTCACTCTGGCTTATTTCAAATGGAGTACTTTGATAATCCTCGCCAAGATGCGACCCACTTAAGTCGGTTATCAGCCAGGTACCTACTTACTGCTAGGTAAGCAACGACAACATGTGTAAAGACCCCCAATGAAAACAAACCAGACTGTCTGATATCACTTGCTTTTCTGGGTTATCCTGGGTTGCTAACCCTCCCGTTTAAAAATCCAAACAAAATTTTCAACTTCTTCTTCTTCTTCTTCTTCTTCTTCTTCTTCTTCTTCTTCTTCTTCTTTTCTTCTTATAATTATATATTATAATAATAATAATAATATATTATTATTATTATTATTATTATTATTATTATTATTATTATTATTATTATTATTATTATTATTATTATTTGTCTTCTAAGGAAACATTTCCATCATCTCAAACTGCGCTGGAATCGAACCCAGGTCCTTCCTGACGTGAGCCACGAACAACCAGCATTATTCTGTATCATATTCAGACATACAGAAGTGACAAAGATATGAACAAAACACAGATGCAACACCTGGACATCTTTACTGTGGAGACGTGTCCCTAACCTGTGGCGAAACATCTCTATAATACAGGTACCCAGGTGTTGCACCTGTGTCTTATTTGTTTGACGTTGACAGTGACAAACCTTATTTCTATAAGTGTAATATGCAAATACATAGAATTAACTGACATGTATGAACTAAGTTATAGGAAGCCCATTGTTATAGAACGCCACCTGTTATAAAAGTCACTTTTTATAAGAAGTCCCTTGTTACAGAGAACCCCTTGTTTAGAAATTCCCTTGTTATAGCAAGCCCCTTGTTATAGAAAGACCCTTGTTAAATGACAGCATTTCTGGCAGCCTTAAAGTGAACTTATAACTAGTAAACAATTGTCTAATTAGATTATTTAACGTCAGTAGTGTACTAATAATGTACTGTTTTTTGTGTGTGCCACATAAATCAGAGTTGGGCGGCCCTAGACTGGCCCTTCTCTTCTTTATTGTGCCAGTTGGCTCTCTCTGTGGGTGCCATTCATCGCTTCCTTCATGTCTACACGACATCACATCGCATCTTTCTCCGGTTCCTTTACCAAAATCGCAAGAATAGAATCTCCGGCGTGATTGCCTTTAACGTAGAGCAGTGAGCCATTCGTTGTAACAATGGCATCCTGCGAAAGCATTAACATTACGGTGGGGTGAAGACTTTGGCTTCAATGTTTACGCTACGGCCACAGTCGTGCCACAAACCACACGACCATCCACACTTTTACTCTCAACTGGGCTATTACAACTTGTTTAATCCTATAAGACTCTCAAATTTCATTATCATAAAATCCTCTCGAATGTTTAACTTTCACACCCAAGTATCAGAGGGGCAGAAACACTCAAAAAAAAAAAGTCTGAAAAGTTGAATATTTGTAGGATCTGCCAGCGGAGGGCCGGAGAGAGAGAGGCGACCACTGGCATGGTCCGGCCATTATTAATGTGTATTTACGAGGTGATAAAGTAGGTGGGCAGCGATATGAGACGACCTGACACTACTTCCTCAGCCACGCCCATACCAGAGGCCGCCACCACCGCCCACACCACTCTTATAAAGGAAGAGATTAGAGCTATATTGGAGGACGAGGCGAAATCGCTGAGAATTTCTCAGCTCTTCATGGACCTTTGGGAACTCGAGGATGTCTTGTGGTGGTGAGAGACGGTGAGGCAGAGGAGGACTGGTGTAAGATAGTGAGGAAGGGAGAGAAGAGAGACAGGGAGATAAAGACAGAGAAGGGAGAGAGACAAGTCTCGTCTAGAGGGGAGGTATGTACCTTGATGCTGGTGAGGGGCTCTCGATTCAAGGAATTCGAGCTACCATACACTTCCTCGGATCAACCCTGATTGACTACTATTCTCCAGATGCTGTGTTACCCCTACGAGTTTAACGCTTCTTGCAAAATAAATATTAATAAGCTCTTTTAGTTTTCCCCTCGTATATTCCCTCTTACAGGATGGTTTTCCCTTCATACTCTCTCACACAGGATGGTATCCCCTCATACTCCCTCACATAGGATGGTATCCCTCTCATACTCCCTCACACAGGTGGTATCCCCCTCATACTCCCTCACACAGGATGGTATCCCCTCATACTCCCTCATACAGGATGGTATCCCCCTCATACTCCCTCACACAGGATGGTATCCCCCTCATACTCCCTCACACAGGATGGTATCCCCCTCATACTCCCTCATACAGGATGGTATCCCCCTCATATCTCATCACTTCATTACAGGATGGTATCCCCCTCATACTCCCTCACACAGGATGGTATCCCCCTCATACTCCCTCATACAGGATGGTATCCCCCTCTCACTCCCTCACACAGGATGGCATCCCCCCTCATACTCCATCATACAGAATGATCGTCCAACAAAATACTTAAATGTGTTGGCGAATTAAAAATAATAGAAAAATGGACAAAATCTTTATGTTACTGCATATTTCGAGAATTGAGGGAGGTCTGAAGTATTTTCTGACACACTTCAATTTATAGCTAAAACATGCATGCAAATCATTACATTGCAAAAACAGAGTCGGTGGAGCCATGAGGATATCGTCCTAAATTCGACAATAAGCTTAGTGGCTACGGCAGCTTTATAGACCTCCTTCTAGTAGGTAACAGTTTCGTAGCACTCTAGTAGCACCCGAACTGTTGGTAGGTAGCACCGCGATCCTCTAAGCAGGACCACTTGCTTATTTGAGAATCTTGGCAGGACCTCGGTAGCACTCAGCTATGGTAGCAGGATAACAGAATCCCAGTAGCAAGTTAGATATTGGTAGCAGGATGATAGGCCCTTCTGCAGCACAGTAGCTGTTAGTATCAGGATGATAGACTTCTGCAGCACCGTAGCTGTTAGTATCAGGATGATAGACTTCTGTAGCACCGTAGCTGTTAGTATCAGGATGATAGACTTCTGTAGCACCGTAGCTGTTAGTATCAGGATGATAGACTTCTGTAGCACTGTAGCTGCTAGTACCAGGATGATAGAATCCCAGTAGCACCTTGGGTATTGGTAGAAGAATGATAGAACCCCAGTCTGACCCCAACTGTGGTACCGGGAAGGGGTATGGGGTCCCTGGCAAGGTTTTTGAGACGCGATATATACAGTATTATCATCACAATACTCTCTTAAGCAAATCTCATCTTCATCTGACCGTCTCCGAATGCTCCATCGGCCATCACCAGAGCTTCATTTCTTCTAGTGACTCTCAAAATCCACCTCTTTAATCCCTCCTCAAACCACACCTTTCAATAGATAATTCATATTTATATATTATAAAGCTTAACTAATATATAAATCTATCGTCATAATAGATGCTTATATGATGTGCATATGAGGAAATGATTTATCCAAGGAGGAAGGCTAAGTCGAGAAAGAGGAGTTCGGACGTGTGTTCCAGTGGTGGGCGAGGTTGGCTGATGAATTGGGTTGGTATACGAAGTGACATGGAACGGCATTAAGCTTGCATTCAATTTTCGTCAAAGTCCTTCAAATCTGCAAACAGACCCCTTATGCTTCGCTCACTGCTACAGTTTTGTCATTGGATTTGCAGAAATGTATTAGACGGGGTCCTGGCGGATTAGCTGAACGTGCAAGGAGATGACACAAGCCATCACAACACGAGTGGAGGTGAGTGTTGCAAGGGTAGTCTGAAGTCAGGGAGGTGAGGATTGTCTCAGACGAGGAGAGAGAAACTTCGCCTCACCTCTAAGGAGCCAGGGAGGCGAGGAATGGGCCAAGGATTGTCTCAGACGAGGCGAGAAAACCTCGTCTCATCCAGCAAGATGCCAGAGAGAGGAGAGAGACAAGAAATGCTTCATCCGAGGCAAGAGAGCTTCTCACCGAACAAGGTGTTGACCACAGGATTTCCAGGTATTCAACACACACACACACACACACACACGCTAATCCACAGTAAATATACACCTGGAAAGTATATTCAGCTAGCACCAACAGCCTGACTGGTCATACTGTCAACAGAGAGGGGTGACGTGGGGGACGTTGATCCCCAAAATCATCTACAGACAACCTACAATAACTCACAGGAGCTGTCCTAATGTACGTAGTTACCGAGACGGATTACCAAATACCGATTAACGACTCATAGACTCGTTCACCCCTTGAAAATATTTTCAGATCGATTATCTGCGAATTTCCCGATGCAGTTGCTTACAAAACTCTCCAAACGGGTTTTATTTTTATCGAAACAAACGATAAATAAACCGCAAATAAACGACCCCTTTAGTAATATGGATTTTTTGTACTTGCTGGCACTAGTACGACCCAGAGTATATTGAAGGAGGTTTATCTTATATACAAGAAGTCAGACGCACGAGAGGAATATTACTGAAAAAACATTGTGGCTGGTCTGCGTCTGAAGTGGTATATTTTATGTGGAATTGTGTCCATCACGGCGAAATGTGTTTCGATAACTAACCCGATTTGTATTAAATTAAAAGTGGGGCGTTATGAGCGTCAGGCAAAACTCGGAAAATTATGTTGTACACAAATAACCCGCACATGGGAGAGAGAGAAGCGTATTGCAACGTTTCGGTCCTACAGTGTGTGGACTTTGTAAAGGGGTCTAGGCTCGGGCCGAAACGTCGTTGTAAGCCTCTCTCTCTCTCTCTCTCCTTTGTTGCGGGTTATTTGTGTACTGTTCCAGTGTACTGCGCATTTGTGTCCTTTAAATTATATGTGTTGTGGTCCTGTGATGACTCGTTTCGTTGGAGCTTTTGGTCATACGACCGAAACCTTTCACTGGCTTACCGGTTCATCCCTTTAAAACAAGTGTGGCATGCAAAGAGTACGTACCCTTTATTCAGCGCATGTACACACCCTCATTGAAAGGCTATCTCCCCCAACCAGCGAACCAGCACTAGGGTCGAACGATGGGGCCCCTTCGTTCGATCAGTACCCAGGTTCAAGCCAATGAGAAGATGGTTTTGGCAATTGCAGAGGTGTTGTGGGTACCACCCACCTGTCTGCCCTTGTCATTCCCATTCTATAGCTGGTTGAAGCACAGTCTGCTTTCTAGTGGCTTCTGTTCTGTCTTGCTTACCGTGGAATACACTAATACCTATTGTTGTATATAGTGAATATACTTCTGTTCTTACTTGGTGAAGGGTAATATCGTTCAAAAGTTTTTCTGCTGTGTTTATTTTGTTCCCTTTACACCCAGGATAGCAGGTCTTTGAATTCCTGGGTTGTAATAACAAGGTACACTCGTTTTAAAGGCCAGATACAATACTTGCATCACCTCACGCAACGGACCGGGTATCGAACCCGCGGACTGACAACTACGTACTCGAACCGCCGTTTGAAGACCTAATCACGCCACTAAATCATTGCACACAATTATTACGAATTCTACATAAATTCACAAATATTGATCCTAGGGCAGAAAAAAATTATATCATTTATATGTTTTCAGCCGTGATAGCCGGAATAATAATGAACGAGGAGACGAAAAATGACGTTACATATAATAGTTTTAATAGGATTGGAAACAGGATTGGATTATTAATTAATAGGATTGGATTAATCACCAGGAAAGCATAGCGATGCGGGTGAATTTATAGACACTGAAAGACAAAAAATAAACGAGTTCAATACCAGTATTACGAACTTTATTGTTCGTTAGACGCCTTCGTTACCTCTCGTTAATTAAAAAAATTATATGATGAAAACAGCCTGGCTATTTCGAAAATAATTATATTGGTGAAACAATAATAACAAAAAAGTCTATTTTGAGACTTTTGTTGTCTAAAAAATATGAAAAATACAGATTTAAAAATAAATCTGGAAGAATAAATCTTGAACAATAAATCTGTAAAACCAAATCTGGAACAATAAATCCGAAACCTTTTTCTACAAAATGAAAATTAGGTTGGCCAGGTGTTGTAACACCTGGGCAACACCTGGGCAACACCTGGGTGTCTTTATTGTTGAGACGTTTCGCCCACCAGCCTTGACAGTAGGTGGTCAGTCCCTCAGTCTTGATATAAGGTGATCAGTCCTTCAGTCTTGATAGTAGGTGGTCAGTCCCTCAGTCTTGATATAAGGTGGTCAGTCCTTCAGTCTTGATATAAGGTGATCAGTACCTCAGTCTTGATAGTAGGTGGTCAGTCCTTCAGTCTTGATAGTACGTGGTCAGTCCCTCAGTGTTGATAGTACGTGGTCAGTCCCTCAGTGTTGATAGTAGGTGGTCAGTCCTTCAGTCTTGATAGTAGGTGGTCAATCCTTTAGTCTTGATAGTAGGTGGTCAGTCCTTCAGTCTTGATAGTAGATGGCCAGTCCCTCAGTGTTGATAGTAGGTGGTCAGTACTTCAGTCTTGATAGTAGGTGGTCAGTCCTTCAGTCTTGATAGTAGGTGATCAATCCCTCAGTGTTGATAGTAGGTGGTCAGTCCTTCAGTCTTGATAGAAGGTGGTCAGTCCCTCAGTCTTGATAGAAGGTGGTCAATCCCTCAGTCTTGATAGAAGGTGGTCAATCTCTCAGTCTCGATAGACGGTGGTCAGTCCCTCAGTCTGGATAGTAGGTGGTCAGTCCATCAGTCTTGATAGTAGGTGGCCAGTCCTCAGTCTCGATAGAAGGTGGTCAATCCCTCAGTCTTGATAGAAGGTGGTCAGTCTCTCAGTCTCGATAGAAGGTGGTCAGCCCTTCAGTCTTAATATAGAGTGTTCAGTCCCTCAGTCTTGATAGAAGGTGGTCAGTCCCTCAGTCTTGATAGTAGGTGGTCAGTCCCTCAGTCTTGATAGAAGGTGGTCAATCCCTCAGTCTTGATGGTAGATGGTCAGTCCCTCAGTGTTGATAGTACGTGGTCAGTCCCTCAGTGTTGATAGAAGGTGGTCAGTCCCTCAGTCTTGATAGTAGGTGGTCAGTCCCTCAGTCTTGATAGAAGGTGGTCAGTCCCTCAGTCTTGATAGCTAGGTGGTCAGTCCCTCGGGCTTGATAGTAGGTGGTTATTCTCTCAGCCTTGATAGAAAACATTCAGTCCCGTAGCCTTGACGAATCTGTAACACAAGCAGGACGAAAGGTGCAACAGCTGAAGGCATCGCCACAGATGGGCGGGACCCCACTACTACAAGTAGATCGTGCTGAAGATATCCACCATACCAAGTACCTGGTATTGCCGTACCAGACAGGTATCTTTACAGCAATGGGACACAACAATGAGGTGGTGTTTCAACCACCCCAAACAGCGTTAAAATCTTCACGCTTGTGATGCGAGGTGTGAGGACTCTTAAAAACCAAGTAGGTTTTAATCCTTTCAAGAGAGATTAAATCTAACTCTCGGTGTGTATACACTAACAGTTTACTGAAATTATATGCAAATATACACAATTGTATATGATTTAACGTGAATCTGTATGTATTAATTAAACACCTGTTTTCCCGTAGTTATTAAACATGTGTATTTGAATGCGTTAAATACAAGCATACATTAATTACAAGTATCTATATGTTTTAAATACGTGTATAGCTACTTGTATTAAATACATGTAGTCCTGTATAACAGTAAGAACCAGAATACCTGCGTGTATTAAACATCTGCATTCCTGTATAAATTAAAGAAGAGAATGAAACACCTGTACACATTACACAGTATACATCTGTATACACTAGATATCTGTGTACCCACCCACGTTAAACACCTGTGTATCTGCATGTAATACCTGACTCCTCGTCATTACCTACACATGCAACATATGTCACCCAGTTTGGTCTCTCCCATCCACGTTTCTGTAAGTGATATGAGAGAGGATTTTTCACCCTGATTGTCCCCGGAAATAAAGGCACCAATGTTCGCATTTCCATGCATATCGTTGTTTTTTTTGGGGTGGGGGAGGACTGGAGGGGTAGAGGGAGGTCCTGGGGGGTAGATGGGGGTCACATTGGCAATAAAGACCCATTGTAGAAGAATGATGGTATAAATGTTGAACAGGATGATGCTACTGTCAGGGAGAGGGTTTGGTGGTAAGCTATGTTGAGTGTGTGTGTGTGTTGTTACCCTGTGATCTAGGTTATTTTAGTCTAGCTGGATGGATGCTGTATGTTGTGTTGGGTGCTGGGACGTGGCAGGTAATGAGATCAGGCTCGATGTTGGTTCGCTTGGTGGTGGTGGTAGTGTGTGTGTGTGTGTGTGTGTGTACTCACCTATTTGTACTCACCTATTTGTGGTTGCAGGGGTCGAGTCCTAGCTCCTGGCCCGCCTCTTCACCGGTTGCTACTAGACCCTCTC